GCTGCTCCAAAGACCCTGCTTGATGTGACATGGACTACAGAAAGGTAGTGGCAGTCATAGGATCAGGAAGAGGAAATAGGGCCTAGGCAAGTAGAGATTAATATTAGTAAATCCCATTGTTAGGTTAGCTCACTTCGTTCTCATTCACTCCTGTTTTCACTTGTGAGGAATAGGTTGAAAAGGTTTTGAGAGTCGGCGCCGTGGCTCAATAGGCTAATCCTCCACCTTGCGGCGCCGGCACACCGGGTTCTAGTCCTGGTTGGGGCGCCGGATTCTGTCCCGGTTGCCCCTCTTCCAGGCCAGCTCTCTGCTATGGCCAGGGAGTGCAGTGGAGGATGGCCCAGGTGCTTGGGCCCTGCACCCCATGGGAGACCAGGAAAAGCACCTGGATCCTGGCTCCTGCCATCAGATCAGCGCGGTGCGCCAGCTGCAGCGGCGGCCATTGGAGGGTGAACCAACGGCAAAGGAAGACCTTTCTCTCTCTGTCTCTCTCTCTCACTGTCCACTCTGCCTGTCAAAAATTTAAAAAAAAAAAAAAGGTTTTGAATGAAGCCATTTTGCCCCTCTGTCTCCTTCCTCTCAGAAGCAAGTGTGAGGAACACACAGTGCAGAAACTTTTTACAGTTTGAGTTACCTGTTTTATCCTTTAATATTAATAGAATCATCCACAAAGCATTTTTGTAGATGTTATCACTTAATCTTGGCATAAGCCCCATGAGGTTTTCCCTCACTGATGAGGATACTGAGCTACAAAATAATCAACTTATCTAAAGTTACGGAGCTAGGAAGTATGGAGTTAGGATAGGAACCCTGTTCTCATCTCCAAATTTTAACTGCAAATTCAAAATGCAAGATAACATAGCCATCTATTAAAATAAAGATACAGGTGAAAGGACTATCTAACCCAATTAGCAACTGAGTCAAATGAAAATATCTCTGCCTACTGGTTTGTCATTGAAGTTATAATTTAGAGAGTAAAGTTTGTTTGAAACCTGGTTATTTAACATAAATATATGGAGTTACTTAGTTTTACCAACCTATAACCTCAAGAGAAACATCTGTCTTGTTGCTCCTTGTTGATGGAGTCATCGCTGTGAATGTAAGGACTTGGCAGTGCAGTGGAGGAATAGAATGTGTTTATTACCTCAGCCCACTGTAACCAGAAGCTAGGCGTTGAATTTTCTGCTGAGACTGCTACCTCCTGATTTCCAGCTTCTGGCATATTCTGGGTCTGAGTCACTCACCTTTCTTTCTTTTCTATGTTATTATTAGGGTAGTGAAGCCCAAGGTGGCCTCCATGGAGGAGATGGCCTCCTTCCACACTGATGCCTATCTGCAGCATCTCCAGGAGGTCAGCGAAGAAGGCGATGATGATCATCCGGACTCTGTAGAATATGGGCTAGGTAAAGTCGTTACCAGGCAGTGATGGGAACTCAGCAACCTGGACTGTCTACTTGAGATTGTACTGCTTAATCTTTTTATAACTTGCATAATAGTTTTAATACTTTTTAAGTAACAAGTGATATCAATCTTCATCTCGCCGGCGCCGCAGCTCAACAGGCTAATCCTCCGCCTAGCGGTGCCGGCACACCGGGTTCTAGTCCCGGTCGGGGCGCCGGATTCTGTCCTGGTTGCCCCTCTTCCAGGCCAGCTCTCTGCTGTGGCCAGGGAGTGCAGTGGAGGATGGCCCAAGTGCTTGGGCCCTGCACCCCATGGGAGACCAGGAGAAGCACCTGGCTCCTGCCATCGGATCAGCGCAGTGCGCCGGCTGCAGCACGCCGGCTGTGGCAGCCATTGGAGAGTGAACCAACGGCAAAGGAAGACCTTTCTCTCTGTTTCTCTCTCTGTCACTGTCCACTCTGCCTGTCAAAAAAAAATCTTCATCTCTTAATTTAACCACGTAGAACTCGCTGACCAAGTGGACTGTATCAGTTGACTAAAACTGGATGATGGGTCAGATTGAAGAAAGACTTTTAATTTGCTGAAGCCCTAATGGCATTGCTCAGATCTCGTCTGCTGTATAAATGCTGACTTAACTATTCTGTGACATATTTTAGCTTGAGTGCAGATTTATGTTCTGGCTGTTTCCTACCGTATCCCTCATTAAGGAGCTTCATTTTTTTTAAAAGACTTATTTATTTATTTGAAAGTCAGAGCTACACAGAGAGGAGAGGCAGAGAGAGCGAGAGAGAAAGAGGTCTTTCATCCGTTGGTTCACTCCCTAATTGACCACAACAGCCGGAGCTGCGCTGATCTGAAACCAGGAGCCAGGAGCTTCCTCCGGGTCTCCCACGTGGGTGCAGGGGCTCAAGGAGTTGAGCCATCTTCCACTGCTTTCCCAGGCCACAGCAGAGAGCTGGATCAGAAGTGGAGTAGCCAGGTCTCGAACCTGTGCCCATATGGGATGCCAGCACTTCAGGCCAGGGTGTTAACCTGCTGAGCCACAGTGCCAGCCCGAAGGAGCTTCATTTTTAAAAAGCCCAAGTGGCCAGTAGGATATTCTACAGAAACAGCATGGTTCAGCAGAACACCAAACAGGGCCAAGAGCCTCAAGTCCTGGGCCTGGCTCTGTGTGACCACCACCAAGACTCATCCCCTCCCAGACTTTGGCTTCTCCCATCTGTAGGATGTGACTAGTTCAACTTGAAGGTTTATTCTTTATAACTCTAACGTTTCAAAATATTCCTTCCCTGACATTGAAGATCTATCTCAGTTGAAGCTGGTGTTAACACAGGAGCTTTTTAGTAGGGTGTATTGTTGACCCACCTTGACCTATTTCTCCACTTTTCTCCAATTCATCTTTTAACAAGCTCTTCTGGTTTTTACCCAAAGGTTATGACTGCCCAGCCACTGAAGGGATATTTGATTATGCTGCAGCTGTAGCAGGGGCTACCATCACAGCTGCCCAGTGCCTGATCGATGGAATGTGCAAAGTAGCAATCAACTGGTCTGGAGGGTGGCATCATGCAAAGAAGTAAGAAAACTGACGTTTCTGCTTTCTGATTCTTTCCTTGAGTCAGTTTTTCAGTTATGTAAGCTCTTATGCTTATTGTATTGACATGTATTGAGAGATGTATGTATATATTGAACTTTACCAGGCATTCTTAAGAGATGCAATTAAAATAGAAAAGGGTGACTTGATATAGTGGGAAGCACACTAGTGAAAGTCAGGACACTGGGGATCTATGCCTAGTTTTTCTGCTAACTAGGCTGACTGACTTGAACAGATTAACCTCCCCAGGCCTCAGTTTCTCCATCAGTAAAAGAAGCAGGGCAAAAGATATAAGCAGAGTCTCTAAATTCCTTTTTAATTTTCTAGAAAGTACATTGTCTTTAAAGGACTTATACTCTAATTAACAAAATTAGAGTACAAATGAAATATGTGTGTGAGGGCCGGCGCCACAGCTCAATAGGCTAATCCTCTGCCTTGTCGCGCCTGCACCCCGGGTTCTAGTCCCGGTCGGGGCGCCGGATTCTGTCCCGGTTGCCCCTCTTCCAGGCCAGCTCTCTGCTGTGGCCAGGGAGTGCAGTGGAGGATGGCCCACATGCTTGGGCCCTGCACCCCATGGGAGACCAGGAGAAGCACCTGGCTCCTGCCTTTGGATCAGCTCAGTGCGCTGGCCGCAGCGCGCCGGCCGCAGTGGCCATTGGAGGGTGAACCAACGGCAAAAGGAAGACCTTTCTCTCTGTTTCTCTCTCTCTCATTGTCCACTCTGCCTGTCAAAAAAAAAAAAAAAAGAAATATGTGTGTGAGTTGAAGATACATAGCAGGAGAAAGTAATCATGGAAACCGTAGGAGAGCTGAATTTTAGAGCTAATTCTTGAAAGAAATGGCAGACTTTTGAATAGGTGGACAATTGATGAGAACAGTTTTAAAACAAGGCTATAGAATCTAGAGAGGCATATACTGCTGTCTCCAAGGAAAGTGGCAGCGTAATATAGTTTGTCTCTCAAAGGAGAAAGGGATTATGAAATGATTCTTCTTAGGTGCTATTTGGGGTTAGAGGAAAAGTCCTTTTGGAGTTGGTGTTAACATATCCAACAGCAAGCAACACTGTGTCTGACAATGACTGCTGGGCCTGCTTCAACATTTGCATCTTGTTTGACATGTGTATAGTTTTGAATGTTTATTGGGGGAGAAAGATTTTTAAACTCTGCAGCTATCAATCTGCTGTCAGTGAAATTAAGCAATTATAGTAATTGACAATGCATCATTCACAAATGACTACTTTCTGCAATCTACCTTGGCCTTCATACTTGGTGTTCTTGAGTCACCAGAAAACAGCATTTTATTTTTCAGAATCAGCCTAGCACAATTTCTTATTGGTAAAATAATAAGAAATTGACAGATTTCATGACCAAGGAAGTCCTTGAAAAAGTTTAGTACTAGAATCTACTACTTAGGTTATAGAGCAAGAACCAATGATTTAGTAATAAGTTTTACAAGGTCTTAAAAACAAAGAAAAACAGCTTTCTTCTTGTTATCTTTTGCTTTATTTTTTTAAAAATTCAGGGGCAAACAGCCTAATGTAAACATATTGGCTAGGATACTCGTGTTCCACATTGGAGTGCCAGTGTCCAGCTCTCTGCTCTGGCTCCTGATTCCAGCTCCTTGCTAATGCAGACCATAGGGGGCAGCAGTGATGACTCAAGTGGTTGGGTTACTGCCACCCATGTGTGGCACCTGCATTGAGTTCCCTGCTCATGGGCATTTGGGGCGTGAACCAGTGGATGGGAGCATGCTCTCTCTGCCTCTCAAAATACAAATATTTTTAAAGTTCAAAATAAAGACAAGGATCCCTCAGGGGAAAAAATGGCCCTTTCTCTTTCAAGCTACAGAATGAAAGGAGAAAATGAATCATCTCAGAACCATGGACTTAGATGTCCAATTGGGCTTAGCAGGTTGGAAAAGCAATGTGGTTTCATAGAAAATGCCTGCTTCTAGCCGGCGCCGTGGCTCAATAGGCTAATCCTCCACCTTGTGGCGCCGGCACACCGGGTTCTAGTCCCGGTCGGGGCGCCGGATTCTGTCCCGGTTGCCCCTCTTCCAGGCCAGCTCTCTGCTATGGCCAGGGAGTGCAGTGGAGGATGGCCCAGGTGCTTGGGCCCTGCACCCCATGGGAGACCAGGAAAAGCACCTGGCTCCTGGCTCCTGCCATAGGATCAGCGCGGTGCGCCGGCTGCAGCGGCGGCCATTGGAGAGTGAACCAACGGCAAAGGAAGACCTTTCTCTCTCTGTCTCTCTCTCTCACTGTCCACTCTGCCTGTCAAAAAATAAAAAAATAAATAAATAAAAAAAAAATGCCTGCTTCTGATGAGTCCGATCTAGTAGTTTCTTATTTATTTAAATTCACTGCAAAAGATCTGCTATGGCCTGAGTCAGTTTCCAGTGGCATACTCAGATACCTGCCATATCTTATTACTGTTTTCCTGTCAAAGGAAGCACAGCTATCTTGAGCGAATCGTGGCTGCATACCTATATGTCATTATCTTAACTGTTTCAGACAGCTTTCAGCTGATCCTGCCTGGAAACAGACACACTTAAAAGAAAGTAAATTACAGAGTCTTTCTAGAGATTGCTCCAATTCAGGTCTGAATTCCAAGGTGTCTTCAGTACCTCTAGAATCTCTCTGCAGGTGGAATACAGGTACTTGGCCCACAAACTTATATCCAGCCAGCATTTACCGATTACAATCACAATATTTGTTTAAATCTTCCTATCCTCAAAGACATACACAGTTTCTTTTTTTTTATTTATTTTTACTTGAGAATCAGAGTTACACAGAGAGAGGAGAGGCAGAGAGAGAGAGAGAGAGGTCTTCCATCCGTTAGTTCATTCCCCAATCAACCACAACGCCCAGAACTGTGCCGATCTGAAGCCAGGAGCCAGGAGCTTCTTCCAGGTCTCATGCAGAGATATCAAAATTAAAAAAAATTTAAAAAATGCAGAGATATCAAAATTGAAGCAAGACATATTTTTCCCCTACTTATTTCAAAATATCCAGGTGCTGGCAGGGTTACATTGACACTGACATAAACCTTTTAAATACTGTGGAAGTATTAAGAGAGGAAAAAACATAGTTAGACCTCCTGACCCTGTAACAATATTCTTGGCAATCTAGTCAAAGAAAATAATTATAGCCTGCCCTCAAGAAAATCTTTTCAGGGCCAGCATTGTGGTGAACGGGTTAAGCCACAGCTTGTGATGCCAGCATCCTATATGGTTGCTGGTTTGAGTTCTAGCTGCTCCACGTCCAATCTAGCTCCCTGCTAATGTGCCTGGGAAAGCAATAGAAGATGGCCCAAGTGCTTGGGCCCCTGCACTCACATGGGAGACCTGGATGAAGCTCCTGGCTCTTGGCTTCAACCTAGCCCAACCTTGGCCTTTTGGGGAGTAATATCTCTCTCCCTGTCTCTCCCTCTCGCCAACTCTACCTTTCAAGTAAGTAAAATAAATATTTTTTAAAGAAAGAAAAAAATCATTTCTAGCATTTGAAAGCTAAAGAAGAGTGATTTTCAAAAAAAGTCTACAGAATTAATAGTATTAGATATTAAACAAATAAAACTACAAAGATAAAAACACTGGTACCACTACATAATACTACATAGATAATATTATGATATGCCTCCTCCAAGAGACCAGTTTCTTATATACATATGTATGAGTTTAACATAAAGGTTACACTGCAAGTGAATGGGAAGTAGAAAGGATGCTTTAATAAGTGATATTGTGAACACTTGTAGCATTTATGTCCTCATTTCCTGTAGTAAACTAAAATAAGTGGTAGCTGAATTGAAGAGTTAAATATAAGAAAGCTAATTCAAATAGAATGAAATATTTATCAAGCATCTAAAGAGTTTTCTAAGGTTAATGATAGAAAAAAAATCACAAATTAAAAGATCAACAAATCTAACTGTATAGATATTTAAAACCAAATAACTTTTAAAAGGTTTTCTTACCACTTAATAAAATCTAAATACTGGAAAACTTATGTGACATAAATATAACAAACTGTGATAAGTTTATATTATCTAAGGCACTATGTAGTGTAATGTGCAAGAAGAAATATAGGTGCCAATGTTGTGGCATAGCAGGTAAAGCCTCCGCCTGAAGTGCCAGCATCCCACATGGACACTGGTCCAAGTCCTAGCTGCTCCACTTCCAGTCCAGCTTCCTGCTAATGTGCCTGGGAAATCAGCAGAAGATGACCCAAGTACTTGGGCCCCTGTATCCTTGTGGGAGATCTGGAAGAAGCTCCTGACCCAGCCCTGGCCATTGAGGCCATTTGGGGAGTGAACCAGAGAATGGAAGATCTCTTGCTCTCTCTCTTTCTCTCGCTCTGTAACTCTGCCTTTCAAATAAATAAATCTTTTTTTTTTTTTTAAATAAGTTTAGACAAAGGATGTTAATAGACAATTTGCAAAGGTATTTCTGTACAACTGGAAAACATGGCAAAATGCTTATCACTACTAATTAAAGAAATGCAAATTAAAACAACTGACAAGCCTCATTTTTATCTGTGTAACAGAATTGATAAAGATGGTACTCAGTGAGTGTGGTTTGTTTCAACCTCTTAAGAAAGCATTTTGAAAACCCACATGTATTAATGTCCTTTAACCTAGTAATTCTACTTCTGGGAAGGTTTCCTAAGAAAATAATTCAAATATGGGAAAAAGCTTTTTATGAAGTTGTTTATCAGTGATCTTTATAAAATTAAAAATTGAAATGAATTTCTAGCAACAAGAAAATGGTGAATCTACTCCATGGAATATCATGCTATTATTTTAAATGCTGATGATGCTGTTATTTATTATTTTATTTTATTTTGGAGATGATAAGACATTTCCAAAAAATAATGATATATGTTAATAAAAAAAGCAGATCCTTAAATTGTAATCAAATTGTAATGATGACTTTGTAAAACACACACATAGGAGGAAAAAAAGACCAGTGGGAATAACAGTTGTTATCTT